ACAAATCTAAAATTAAATATTTTACTTAGAAAATATATAGCTAAAATTAATATATAAGTTTTTATTAAAAAAATTAACCTTTTTAATAAAAACACAGACAAATCTGCCTGTGTTACAATTTAAGGGATAGATAATAGCATTAAGCAAACTTTTATTTATTCTAGTTTGCTTTTCTTGTGAAATCGGCTTGATACTCCAATCTGTTAAATTTTCTTGACAGTTTACAATTGAAGAGAATGAACTATCAGTATCGCTACAAAAGTCTCTATTAGCTTCAGTAAAAAAAAAAAAAAAATTTTGCTATTATATATAGGATAAATTCGGTCAGTCATTTTTTGTCAACTGTTGATAGAAAATAACTGATTAAACTTATCCCTAGTTATATATGTAGGTGATTCTTGATCAGTTTTTTTGATTTTTTTATGCAAATTAGGAATAAAACTTGCTAGTTTTTTAATATAGAAATTTTTCTCAATAACAGGCCAACTATCATACAAAAGAACATGAGTGTGGAGTTTTTCAGATCTGCCAGCTATTTCAGTATTGCAGTGAGTATATTTAGCAGTATATCTATTGCCCACTCCTTTTTCTAAAGAATGCCAAAATTCTGTTTAGCAGTAATCATGAAGCTTTATGTCAGGATAAGTAAAACCTGGTTGGAATTGAGTGGTTTCACCTGTAAAATCAACTATGAGTTCACCTTGTTTAATATTAATGTATGCTTGCATGGCACAGGTTTGAAATCTTTTGTGAACAAGTAATTTATTCTTTTAATAGTAGTGAAAAGAGAACTTCTAATTAAATTTAACAATTTCATATAACTAGAGACAAGACGATTGGATTATTTGGCAAGACTTAAGTAAATTTTTTTTTTTAAAAAAAAATGTGATTAACACAAATTTATTAGATCTTTAACAATATTAAGGTAAAGAATCTTATCAAGTTATTTTTAACCTGATAATAAATTCATCTTTATTAATCCTTTTAAACTATTTATATATTTTTTAAACATAACATTTATCACTTTCCATCTATTTATTTCATGATTTGAATCTCTGAGGCTTTAACACTGTGATAGAAGTTTAGCCAAACGGTTAAACACATTTTTAATCAATTTTACTTTACTAGTTATGCGTAGTATAAATTAGTTTCTTAACTCATATTATAAAGTATCTAAATTTAAAACTAGTTTTAACCAAAATTGAAGCCAATTAGGCTCAGACCAGATCTGTAGCTTTGAGCCATGGCTTATGCGGAATATAATTTTTTAATTTTTTTTAACCTATATCATAGGATAGCTTAATTCAAAACCATTGTTAAAAATTGGTTAGATCTGGACCAAATCTATTACTTTGAGCATAGCCTAAAGTTAAAGCTTATTTTTTTGAGCCTAATTGGCTTCAATTTATAGCATATACATTCACAAACAATATGCGAATGTAAAAAATATTATAAAATATAATAAAATTAATTGGAGTTTATATTTAAATATTTTATTTTAAAAATATATAGTCATGCTTATTGTTTATTTATACTTAATTATAAGAAGCGATTAATGAATAGAGCTATAATATTATTAAAAATTAATTGCACATTATTCTGTCTATATTAACACTCTTCAAAATAAATAGTTTAATTGGTGATCTACTAGTCAATCAGAGAATGATTATAATAAAATGTAACTCAAATTATTTATAAAAATTGGGATCACTAAATGTGGCATGTACGCATCTAAAACTTTTTTTTATATTAAGTTAATCACTTTTCTAACTTAAGAAACTTTTGTAAAGCTTGTCAAAAGTGCATCTAATAGTACTGTAGTTAAAGTGTCAAAATCGGCTTGGTAAGTGCTAAAATATCTTTAAAAAAGTTTTTTTTTACTATATAAACTTCTTTGCAAACAATAGTATTGTTTGCAAAGAAGTTTATATAGTAAAAGAAATGTTTTTTAA